TCTTGACCTCATGATCCACCCGCCTCAGCCTCCCAAAGTGCTGGGATTACAGGCGTGAGCCACCGCGCCCGGCCCAGCCTCTGCTTTTCTCACAGCTTTGGAGCTGCTCTTCCTGCACGTCTTCGGGAGTTCCATATGGCCTGGCCTGCAGAGCTCCGCTGGGAGAGTCCTTGTCCTTTGGAATACACTCAGCCCAGCTGACCATCAAGGGGTCCCTTGGGGATGTCTGGAGCAGTGGCCAGAGCTGGGCTAAGGACTGTGCTTTCACAGAGGATTGGAACTCTCTGCTTCCATTTCCCATTTGTGAAATGGGGTCAGTCTGTCTTTTCTCAACTTTGAAGAAATAAGACTAAATCATGAATCAGGCTGAATCCATAGGGCCTAGGTGAAACGGGCTGGTGAGTTTGTCAATTTGAAAGTGGAGAGGTGTTTTTTCCCCTCCTTCCCTGCAGTGGAGGTTAAAGGAGGCTGTCTTTTTCTGAGGGTCACCAAGTAAAGCTGTTTTCTCTGTCTGTGGGGCTGTTACAGAGCTCTGCCCAGCAGCTTTGGTCTTGGAGGTATGGTCAGTAGAAGGGGTAGATTTTGGGGGGGCAGTGGCCCTGGACCTTGTGGCCTCAGGGCTAAAGCCAGTTTGCCACCAAAATCCTTATCTAGAAGGAAGAGAGCTTCTGCTAAGTTGCCTTTTGGCCCTTTTTATTTCTACTCACCTTATTTCTTGAATATACATTGGATTAATCTAATTTTAAAATGTGCATGGCAAATGAGCATTTGTTTATTTGAGGGCAATGTATGGGAAGTACCTGCTGTGGGACTGCAGGGCCCCTTCTCCCACTCCCCCTCCACCCTCAAGCAGAACCGGCCCCTTTCCCTCTCCCTGGCTGTGCCCCTGGCCCCTTCCTGCCTCTATATCTCTGCTCATGGTGAAAATGCTACACCCCAGTCACTTCCCCTTGCTCACCTCAAAATCCTCCCCACCAGCACCCAGCTCCATCGTCACCTCTTCCATGCAGCCATCCCTAATTCTCCAGAGCTGGTGTTGCCTGCTCCCTCCTTTACATGTGCAGAACCTGTTACCTGGACCTCTCAAGGGACCCTTCAACTACTAGCTTTGAACTCTAGTTTCCTAGGGACAAGTCTTATCTCCTCTAGGCTCTGTGCTCTGGAGGCAGGGGCTACGTATGATCGATTTCCAGTGGGGGTGTGCAGTGTTGTGGAGTGGAATCAAAAGTCCTGAGCTCAGATCCCCATTCTGCCACCATTAGCTGCTGCGTGATCTAGGGTAAATTACCCTAAATCTCCCTGGACATCAGATTACTCAACTGCACAATGGAGATAATAATAGTTCTGTTTTGTTAGGGAGGTTAGGGAAATCAGTGCTTTGACATGGTAAGTGGGCAGTAAGTAGAAGCTCTTCAAAAGATAACGGTGGTTAGGATTATTGTTTGTAGCTAGAGGTGATCTGTTCTCTTAGACATCAGAGAAAGAATCCGTGGAATTTGAGTTTCTGAACTTTGTGCCTAACAGCGGAGATGGCATGTGCAGATGAGGAAACTGAGGCCTGGAGAGAATGAGCAATTTGCATGGCATGTGGGAAGATCTGGTCTCATGTAGGAACCTGGACCGGATTTCTTTTCTTTGTTACGCCTCTGTTTTTCCTCTTCTTTCCTGTCATCAAGTCTAAGGTGCTTGAGTTCCATGGGCTCAATCTCCTCCCTGTTAACCATATTGAAGGATGTCTAAAGCTTACGCCAGATAACTTGGGCTGGCTGGGAAGGTCCCGCTGGGCTGGCGGCCCTGTGGCCGTCCTCATAACTGGGGACCCATACCCCAGACTGCATGGGATGGAGCTTTTTGAGGCCTCCTACTCAGCCTTGCTTTGCCTGGGATGGGGGAGAGGATGGTGGCAGAGAGAGGTGACATGGGCTTGGTCTTGGAGCAGGTGACCAGGAGATCCAGACAGAGCAAAGGTTGAGAGCCAGGCCCTGGAGCTAGGTGGCCTGTGTTCAGATCCCTGCTGGGCTGCTTCCTATGTGTCAGACCTTGGGCAAGCTGTTTAGCTCTTCCTTGTACAAAGGGGATGATAATTGTTCCCATCTGACAGCATTTAGAAAGATAACACACTGTGAGCCCAATCCAGGTGAGTTATCATTATTGTGGTTGATATTATTATTGACTAAGGAGCTAACTTAATCCTCACAACAGCAATAGGAAAAAGGCACTATTATTATTCCCTCTTAGCAGATATGGCAACCAAGGCTTAGAGAGGTAGGTAGCTAGCCTGGAGAAGTTTAGTCCCAGGGGATTACAGTCAGGCAGGGCTCTGGCCACAGGAAGTAGACTCGTTGTGTGAGGTACCGGAAGGCAAATCCAATGGGTGGATGGGCCAGGAGCGGCTGACTTCAACACAGTGTAATAAGGAGACTTAGAAAAAAATTAGTGCAAGCCAAGATGGAAGGGATTGTGTCTGCAGGGAGCGACCTCCCTGTTTCTGGGAGCAGAATCCTGGAGCTCATGTGATTAAGATGTGGTGGGGATTCTGGCCTCCTTCAGACCTGAGGTCTGGCTCCCCGAGGGAGAGCTTGGATTCTTATCATCTCAGGCTGTCCAAGGGATTGGCCTGTCTGGGCAGGTCCCAGGGTGGCGTTAGGTGGAGGTTTGCTGTAGTCATTCTGCACGGCAGCCACCTCTGGTTTACACCACCAGCCTTGCAAATACGACCTGCCCAGGCAGAGGCCAGATGAGGAGAAATGAGTGTTGTCATAGCAGGGCCTTTACTCATGCTGCGTCCTCTGCCTGCATTCATTCCCTCCCCCTCTCCTTATGCCTGGGCAGCTCCTGCTCATGCTTCTATGAGTGTAAGCACCATCTATTCATGGAAGCTCTCCCTGATCCACCTGTAAGCTAAGTCAGTAGTTCTAAAAGTTGGTTTCTGGCCCAGTAGCATCAGCATTACCTGGGAACTTGTTAGAAGTGCAAATTATCCAGCCCTATCCTGGACCTACTGAATTAGATACACTGGAGGGTGGGATTCAGCAATCTGTTTTAAGAACCCTCCAGGGGATTTTAATATGTGCTGGTGTTTTTTTTTTTTTTTTGAGACGGAGTTTCCTGCTTGTTGCCCATGCTGGAATGCAGTGGTGCAATCTCGGCTCACTGCAACCTCTGCCTCCCAGGTATAAGTGATTGTACTGCCTCAGCCTCCTGAGTACCTGGAATTACAGATATGCACCACCATGCCCAGCTAATTTTGTGGTTTTAGTAGAGACAGGGTTTCTCCATATTGATCAGGCTGGTCTTGAACTCTTGACCTCAGGTGATCCGCCCACCTCAGCCTCCCAAAGTGCTGGGATTACAGGCA